TTCAGTCGATTAAAGAAAATAATTTCTCAACAATATAAGCGGTTTTAATTTCTCTTTTATTTTTATATTACTATTTCATTTTAAAAATTCTTAATATCAGATAATAATTAATATTGGAGAAACAAAATAAATAAAAAAAACCTTATGATATGGTTACGACTGGCAAATATTCGTTCAATAGATAATAAGCAGTCGTAGAAAAAATAAAGTGTTTATCATGTGAGAAAAACCATTTTCCCACTTGTTGCGCAACCTACTATTCCGAAAACATTTAAAATTAGCAATACAATTTCAGAATGAACATCAATCCCTCATGGCTTTAATTTTCAGATGTTGGCGCCAGGCAACTTACCTCCCAAGTCTGTTCGAAAATATAAGAAATCTGGATATTTTTCTTCACAAAGTTTTTTACTGTTCAAAGTGTATGGATTTCTTTACCATAGACCACAAGTGTTCACGATCAAACATCACATGCGCTTTTTGTAAAAAATCTCTAGAAAACGTCGATATTGTGAAACATAAATGTTTTCGACCTCTAATTAAACCGGAAGTAGACAGCGAATCTGACTCGGGTAAAACGAGAACTAAGAGGAAATATAAAGGAAGGAAACCAAGAGAAAAAACGACCGGTCCTTCCAAAAGAAAAAACAGACACTACAAATGTAAAGATTGCGAAATAAAATTCGATTCTAGAAATAGTTACCGTAAGCACAGATACCAAGAACACAATGAAGAGAAATACAAGATCTGCACTTTATGCGGGAAGAGTATAGTTAGTTTAAGTCAACACTTGAAAGGAGTTCACGGGAATCCGGATAGTTTCAAGTGTTCCGAATGTGATAAAACTTTTTCTTGTAAAAAGCATTTGCAACGTCACAAGTTGGTGCACAGCGACTCATATAATCACGTCTGCACGACTTGCGGAAAGGGGTTTAAGACCTCGTTTTCTATGAGGGTTCATATGAGGTCGCACGATGACGTAAAACCGTTTGAATGTCCAGTTTGTATGAAAACTTTTACCACTAAGCAATGGAGAGATAATCACATGAAGACACATAGATAGAAAATAGATTTTTTACAAAGCAATTCAGCAATGTTTGGCAACTATTTGACAATTATTTTGTTATCGCATTTTTTTTTAATTTTAATTGTAAACTATTTTTAAATTATATGTTTTTGTTATATTTGCAGGTGTTTTTAATTTTTTTTTTTTTTTATTTAGATGAGAATAATTTTTTGGGGATCAAAAGACCTAAAATCTAGAAATTTGAAAAGAAAGGCAATAGTGTAAATTGGTTATAATACATTGTTTTGGTTTATACAGGGTGTTTCATGACGTACCGTACAAACTTAAATAATTCCTAAGCTCATTTCAAGCAAAAAATGTCCTATGAACAAATATCCAATTCTCCATTGTTACCGAGTTACAATGTATCAAAGATCAGAAGATAAATTAACGTATAATGTAATGTTTTCAAAAGTTTTGGTGTTTATTTATCTACAATTATAAACGTCAGTTAACTAATTAGCCCTACACTTGTCAACTACGTTTACTGTTTGTGCTTTTGGCCATCAAACAACCGTTCCATAAGTTATCATGGGTTATTGCGTTCACGTTTGTTGTGCAATCAGGGAAATGAGTATTAAGCAGTAATTCTTGTATTTCGATTCCAGTTTTAGTTTATCCCCACAGGGTTTATAGCATATTTTGCTAGAAGACGGCGGAGTCTATTCCCTTCAGTTGTATTTTCAATTTCCTGACGATCTTCTCTATGAATCCCTCTTAGATTTTCTAAGAGTATTGTTATACTCTGTGAGTGTTTAGGTGTATGCCCCCACTTATTTGTCTTTTTTGCCTTATTAAAGAGTTACGCGTTTTCCTTTTGAGTTTAGCGAGTTCAGTGTTCGACCAGCTCACTTCCCTCAAAGTTTTTCTGTGCTTTAACGAACAGTTATTGTGATGTTATGATTGCGGCCTGCAATTGTTCTGTAACTTCATCTATATTATTTTTAGTGCCGATGACTTAAAAGAGAGGGCTCTCGAGACACGTACGGCTTGCCAATTTGATTCGAAACGAAAGGAGATCCGAGGGTAATGTCAACTAACATTGCTTCCTCTACTGGTTACAAAAGTGGGTTAATTTACACAATTTAATATTTCCCGGTTAGTGGTTAAAATGAATTTAAGCAAAGACCCATCTCTTTTGTTGTTAGTGTTATATGGTGTGAATTTGCGTCTGCAGCAATGAGCACCTGCAGGTTTTCGGCCCTACAGGTGATTACCAGGTCCCTCAGCCGGTTGGTGGAGGACTAGGTAAGTCATAGGGAAGGTATGTAGAGTTTACAATGAGTGGTCTCTTGTTGCTTTCTATGTTTATTTCCATCCTGACTGCTACTAAGTCTCTAAAACAGAAACCTTTTAAATTAAGGATGTCTAGACCATTACGTATGTATTTCCTTCTCAGACGAGCCACCCCGTATATTTCTTATCCCATAGTAATTGGAAAAATTTCCCGAAACACGTCGGATGATTTTCTTTGGGGGACATCTTTTGACGTATATTTGAGACTTGAACGAGCAACCCCCTATGAGGGGGCGCTTCAACCCCTCAAAATTGAACAGGGAAGAGGGGTTGAGTGATACTTCATTTGTAAGGTCTTGGAAGCCCCTTTACAACGGTGTATGAAATTAATCACATTCATAAAAGAAATTAATTGTTTTATCTACATAAAATGATCGAAGAGACGTGATAAACACCTTCTAAGAACAAAAAATGAAGGCAAGATAAGAAAACGTTTTGATTTTTTATTTTTATTTATTAGTTCGAGAGAATTTATTATTGTATGAAAGTCAATAGAGGACAATTTGAACATTTGATTTAAAAACGCAGTTTTGATTTTTTTGATTGTAAGCATGATAAAACAAATAATTGTCTTCCAGGTAGGTTATTGTGTTCAATTTTGGCTAATTAATCGTTTCGTTCTCGCCATGTTGCGTTTTCTGACCTGTTTAGCACAAGTCAGGTTTTTTGTCTATTAGTTTCAAATCATCAACCCCGTATAAGTTCTAAAAAAAATTCCCAAATTTAATGAAATATTTTGTCAAATTGGCTGACATTGGTATAAAACACTAATTTCATCGGTTGAAGGAGGGAGTTTTATCCTGAACAGTTGCGATGATAATGTAATGTAAATAAAATATGGAAAAATAATAAAAAAAAACAAAGTTACCTGGATTTTGATAGCGGCAAAGGTCAAATTAATTATGGGGTTTTGGGAAATAAGTAATTTTTGGGTCAAAACGAGTTAACTGCATATCCTTATACAACTTTTCTAATAACAATTTGGTAAAGTACGTTGAACTGTACATTAAAACTTCAACATAGAACAATCATTTAAAATCTATATGAATTCATGCCTATTTAAAATCATCACTTCAGCCTCAATGAATTCATCTGAAAAGTAACAAATTTAGACTTTCCCGTTATTTCCTGAAACCATCGAACTCAATTTCAATTGTAAAGTTTGTTTTTTTTACAAAAAAAAGCAAAAGTTTCTTCATCAACACAAAGAAGAAAAATTCTCACGCCAGTATCAAGTCCAATATTTTTGTTTACATAATATGTAACGACAATCTCTAATTTGACAAATGTCAAAAAAATACAGTGTTGCCAGATCAATTTAATTATAATAATGGTAATTTTTAGGTAGAATAGTAAAGTAAAAAAATAACTAAACTACCTAACATCAACGAAAAGTGACTAATACGGTGGCCTCGTCAGGTTGCTAAAGACGGGGGTGTGACGTCACATAATGAAAAATCGAGGTGACAGCGATTTTTTTTTAAAATCTAATATTTTATTATTATATTGTGTTTATATTTTTATTTTTGAAGTATTTTTCAATATCGGTAGTTTAATTTTTTGAAAGATAAGCTACTAAACAGCAAGGAAAAATGATGTAAAGACTTTCATAAAATTTAAAATGAATTACTTTTTATTTGAATTATAAAGAGAAATATTCTAGTGTGAATTTTGTTTATACCCTGAAATAATTTGAAATTTTAGCATGCCTGGAGCGAGCTGAGGTGTTGCCGTTTGCAAACAATTTTTACAAACAAAAATCATCAGATCAAAGGATATGTTTCCCATTCCCAAAAAGCGACCATTTACAAAAAATATGGGTGTAGTGTTTCCGAAAATATCAGATCAATGTTAAAACTGTGAAAATATGACGTGTGTTTCTTCTGAAGTACAACAGACCCTTGTTTTCTTCGTTAAAATTAATTGTTTTTAAATTTAGGATGGACATAATAATCTAAAATTTTAACATTAGTTATTTAATTCAGTTTAGGTTCAGACCCTTTCTTCAGATGATTTTTGTTTGTAAAAACACTACAGCTCGCATGCTAAAATTTCAAATTATTTCAGGGTATAAACAAAATGTGGTCTGAGTTGACTCGGAGGCTGTACCCTAACCAAAAATGTATAAATCATTCACACAATAAAATTTCTCTTAATAATTTAAATAAAAATACATGATTTGTTTTGTAGCTCGTCTTTCACAAAAAAAAAACAAACTACCGATATTATAAAAACTCTTAACACTAGAATATAACACTACTAAATAACAATACAATATTAGATTTTTTAAAAACTAAGTAGTGTCAACTTGCTTTTTTATTCGCTGACGTCACTCCGTCCTTAGCAACGGGGATGAGGCCATCGTAGTGTCTACGAACCGTGACCGAAGGTACCTAAAACAGTAAACAAAACTAAATGGTAGGTAGTAAGTAAGTAGTAACCTAAAAAGTTGAACTTACTCTTCACTGTCAAGCCGACTTAACTAGATTGTTAAACTATGTCGCAACTTTTTGGATTGCATTCTTTTGCTTAGTAGAAAAAAATTTATTACAACACATATTGATTCACTTTTAAGATGTTCGTTTTACTATGTTTAGAGGAAAAAAATCACCTTAATAAGTAAGTTTTCTATTTTTAGCGGTCGATTCTGCTCTATACCATGTGACGTTTGTCAACGAGAATTTCCCACCATAGCGCATCTGAAATTTCATTGGACCAACTTGAACGAAACGTTTTTCTGCACCCGTTGTTCGTCTTATGGTAACCGAGGAAGCGAACGTTTTCCTTTATGTTTGTGCCCAAAGGAATATCTTTTGTGCACATTGTGTCAGGACGTCCCCGAAGAAAAACCTTTCAGTTTACATAAGTGTTTCCATAATCTTAGTAATAATCCGGGCTATAAAACAAATCGTATAACGAGGTGTATTGTATGTCACCAATATTTTTCTGAAGAAAAGTTAGCTGATCATTTGGAACAAGCTAAGAAAAACAAATTTTTCTATTGTATGGAGTGCTGCATATACTACGAGGAGAAATGCAATCCAGTTTGCTGTTATCCGCGACAAGTTTGCGCATTTTGTTTACAAATACTTACAGATGTACAAGGAGAATATCATAAATGTTTTCATGAAAACAACACTGAGGATTTTGAAACTCTAAAAGAAACGAATGCAGTGAAGTGCTACCTTTGCAACTATTCCTATCACAAAAATTTCGGCCATAGGCATCGTCGAATGCATAATTACGTAAGATGCGACATTTGTTGCATTTCAGTTTACGTACCTAATTTGTCTCATCACGTGGCAAAAACACATTTGGCTTGCGTGGAATGTGGTTTTCGATTCGAAGACTTCATCGAGTACGAACCACACAAAAAGAGCCATAAATCGAAGAAAATAGCGACAGTTTGCGAAATTTGTGGCAAAAAAGTAGTTAATTTAAATCAACATTTGAAAGATGTTCACGGGGATCAGGACAAATTCAAGTGTTCCGTATGCGATAAAAAATTTATGGCTAGATCAGGGTTACACGCGACTCCAATAATTACCTCTGCACGATTTGCGGAAAAGGTACTAAATTTGGGTATTCGATGAGGATTCATATGAGAACGCACGATGAGGTTAAACCTTTTGAATGCTTAGTTTGCTTAAAAACTTTTACCACCAAACAATGGAGAGATAATCACACAAAGACACATAAATAGAAGATAGATTATGCCCAAATTACTCGAAAAATACTGTGTTATCGTTTTTATTTGTTTTAATAGCAATTTTATATTATAAAATGTTTGTCGTATTGTTTTTATTTTTGTTTCTTATAGAAAATGATTTTTTGTCCAACCGTGTATTACATCATAGTTATAAAGCTAGAGATGTAGAGTTTTTGACACAGTGACAACAACGCATAATCACGTCTCCAACAGAATAAGGATTTAAAAGAGTAAAAGAGGTGGTACGTTTCTAAAGATCTTAAAAAAAAATATATCAAATTTTATTAAAAAAATTATCTTTTATTCTCATTTCTCCGCTTAATCATGGTCTCCTCTACTCACCGCCTACTTTCTTGGTCTTCTTTTTCTGACCTCTGTTATAACACTACCCCTTAGATAAATAAAATTAGATAACTGAATGTCATAAATTTACATTGTATTTGTTTGAAAGCAACATATACAAGCCAGTTGATAGAAGAAGAAGAGCGGGGGTTTGTTTACTTTTATTATCCAGTAGCGTATCAAATAAATGTCAGTAGAAATGATATTGATTTGAATTATTTTATTAGTTTTGAGATCTATGTGGGAGTGATTTATGTTAATAGCTTTTGATTTCTTAAAAATATATGTAACTTGATCATAGGTATATCCAACCTTTTTGAAAATGGTGATTCTATGGGAGAGTACAGTTCTTCTGTAGGATTCACTGTATCAGCTGATGCAGTCGATGTTGATATACTATGTTGAAAAACAGCCGATTCATCCATTTTCCTAGAGGGCAATAATACATTTTGAATGACATGAATTTTACAATCCCTAAGAAATACAATTTTAAATTAATAAATTTTTTTTTATTATTTATAGTTTTTATTCAAATACTCACATAGTTTTAGATATAGAAGGTTTAGGATGTTTCCAATTGAGGAACAGCTTCAGGAGGTGAGTAAAATGATTGCAGTACTCCTTTCATTAAAAACATTTTTCCTCCTGAAGACTTAGCAAAGTCAGAATCTTAAAAATGTTCTGAATAAATTCTACAAAATTCACTCACTTCATCGTCACGAATACCCAAAAGTTCTTCATTCACATATCCCTACTTTGAGGATCTTTTGAATACCTAAATAGGTATAAACAGTGTTTTCTTGTTTATATAGACAGGTAGGATTTCATGTAATACAGAATGCAACATAACATACTTTACTTTAAAATAACTATGGTGCTCTAACAATACATGTCATTAAAATAAAACAATATTAAGTACTTATAACTAAATGGAATGCCATTAGAGCCTTCTTAAATGTACATTGTGCATAACAATATACTCTTAATTTAAAGGTAGCCTATTGAAGATCAAAGTTATTAAACACAGGCACAATAAAATAATACAAAATTCGACGTTCAATGTTATTTTAAACTTTAAAATAAATTGTTGTTCAAACCTTATTTTGAATTATGATAGCCCTGAAAAAGTGTGATACAACGGTAATGGTTTTTATTTACTTACCTATGAAACGTTATCGAACTGAACTTGATTACTTTCTCGAGCACACAACACACTTCATTGACATTTTAAAGGAATAGATGAACCAAAACTAATTAAACCACAACATGAACAATATCAGCACAAATTAACAATAAAATATCTAACTGTATTCTTGTCAATTTTTTACTAACCAATCAAACAGCGTAATCAAAATAGCGAATATCCAATCAAGTCGTGTAACCACTGATTCATAGTGGAGGAAGATTCTGGTTACAAATATTGCATGATAGGGCTGAATTTATTTTTTATTTATCTAAGCTCTACCCCGGCTCATCTCACTGCTCTCCCTGTCTTCCAATCTTTTTATATTAAAAATTAATTTTTTACATTTTTCTTCATTTATATCAATCTTCCAAATTCCAATTACAGTTTAACATTTTAAAAACCAAGATAAAATCCGTCTGACATTTCCAATTTGCATCTGACAGCCTGATTTTTTTTACTTAAACTTTTGATTGTCAAAAACTTCACCCAGCGTTTAATTTTGATAAATTTTGATAAATTTTAATAAATTTTAATAAATTTTGATAAATTTTGATAAATTTTGATAAATTTTGATAAATTTTGAAAAACTTTGACAAACTTTGATTAACTTTGATGAACTTTGATTAACTTTGATTAACTTTGATTAACTTTGATTAACTTTGATTAACTTTGATTAACTTTGATTAACTTTGATTAACTTTGATTAACTTTGATTAACTTTGATTAACTTTGATTGACTGTGATTAAGTTTGATTAACTTTGATAAAAAAGAAGAAATTGAAGACTGGGCGATAAGTAAGTACACATTAGACACTAGGTAAATAAAATAGTCCAGTATTTCAGTGTGTATAATTACTTTAATAATATTAGGCTGAACGCTTATGACCATCATAGCCATCATCAAATCCTTCTTAATATATTACGATTGTATACACCTAGTATATATTTAAAATTATAATCGATAAATGTGTGTGGAAAAATTATAAAACTAGGAACAATCATTAACCCAAAAATAATTCTAATTGTCGTGAATTAATAAAATGTATAATGACAAAATCAGATTGTCTGATATTTCTAACGGGCTATCAGAGAAATAAATCAGCTGTGGCTCTGATAGCGACAACTGTCATGTACAATAAGTAACAACGGACTACCAAAACAGGTTACGATTTGGTGTCTTGGGTTATAAACGATACATAACTAAAAGATCTTGAAATTTATAGACATTGATAGCCTATGAAGCAAAGGTAGCTCTTGACCAATATATTGAAGGTTCACAATGAGAATATAAATCTCAGATTTAGGTAAAAAACTTTCGGTGTTTTAGAAAGGATTTATAAACACTGAAAGATTTTTACCTAAATCAATATTTTGCTCACGAGCCGCCAGTGCTAAGAAGGTAATTGTCATTCATTGCTAGACCATGAAGGTAATGAACATTATTTCTAGACCACGACCTAGTGGCTTCAACGATTTATTACTACCGCATTTTGATTCAACAAATTAAGCCGAAGCTATGATAAATATAAGAAAGTTAATACTAAACAAAAATTTGTCAGAAACCAACTCAGTATTGTATTATTATACCTAGATAAAAAAAGCCCCTTAAAACAACTGGTTTTAAAGAAAAATTATGATAAGCGCCGGTAACATTGCCTAAATTATTTTTGCAGGCAGCAATGGGACGGGCAACAATGGGACAACACCGTTTTAATGCAACCGTATTTCTTTGAATAGGGTGTAAAACTACTATTATACGGGGATGACTTATCTATATTAGACTAGTGTGCGAAATGTGTAAATATGTTTCATCCGTGTAAATAATGTTCTTGCCTTATTTACGATACATTTTCATTTGTTGTAAGTATTTCACTCTTTTTAATCTAATCTCCATCAACATCGTTCTGTTATCACCGGTATTTTTTCAACTGAAACCTAATTCTTTTACTCAGTGGCGGCAGTGGCCTAGTCTACAAAGGGGCTACTTTTGAAAGGCACTTTATAAAACTTACCAAAGCAGTTTAGGTGATCCGATAGTACTTGTGTTCTATTTAAAATTAAAATGAACTAATTTGGTATAACTAGTTCAACAAAAAAAAAAAATCATCTTAAATATTTTATTTTTTAGAAGTCATTTCGGCCCTATATGTTGCGAGATTTGTCAACGAGAGTTTCCTACCACAACGGACCTACAATTTCATTTGACTAACTTGAACGAAACATTTTACTGCTCTCGTTGTGGATCGTATGGCAACCAAAGAAGCACCAGATTTCCTTTGTGTTCGTGCCCGACAGAATGTTGGATGTGCTTATTTTGTCAAAAAGTTCCAGAGGAAAAATGCCACAGTTTACATAAATGTTTCCACAAAACGGATAATATAGCAGATTGTAAAATGAAGTGTCCCGTATGCCGGAAGTTTTGCTCTGAAGAGAAGTTAGCGGAACATTTGACACTAGTCAAGATGAATAGATTTTTCTATTGCAAGGAGTGCTGCGTGTACTACGAGGAGAAATGTCATCCGATTTGTTTGTATCGGCACCAAGCCTGTGCGTTTTGTTTACAAGAAATCTCGGATGCCCAACAAGTTTACCATATTTGTTTCCATGAAAGCACAGCTGAGGATTTTGAAAATCTAAAACTTACAAACACAGTGCTATGCTTATTTTGCAACAGATGCTATCACAAAGATAAAGAAATTGAGCATCGTCGAATGCACGACTACGTGAGATGCGATGTTTGTCGCATTTTAATTCACTCTACTACTTTGTCCCGTCACATGGCAAAAATTCATTTGGTTTGCTCGAATTGCGGTGTAAAATTCGAGAACTTCAACGAATACGAGCCGCACTACAAATTGCATAAATTTGAGAAAATGTCGACGTTGTGCGAAGTTTGCGGCAAAAGATTCAAAGCTTCCCATCTCACCGAGCACGTGAGGAAGCACCGAGTTCTAACGAGCCAAACGACTGTCGTCAAATGCAAGGAATGCGGCAAACAGTTTCAAAAGGTTTATTTGAAACGACACATGTTGGTTCATTCGGATGATGCGTCATTTACTTGTCCGATTTGCGGAAAGGGGTTTAAAAACAATTTTAATTTGAGAGTGCATAAGAGATCGCACGATGAGGTGAAACCGTTTGAATGTTTGGTGTGCCACAAGACTTTTACTACGAAGCAGTGTAGAGACAATCATTTGACAACGCATAAAGCATAAACAGAGCATAAATCATAATCATGTGGTTATATCTATGGATCCGTTTATCTAGACAATTTCAGGATTTTTTTTATTATCCAAATGAAAGTAATTGAAAATATTTTTTACATTGTAACTTGCCGGCTATGGCGCGCGGCATATTTACAAAATATAATTGTGGTATTCATAAAAAAAAACTATATTATTTTAAAACATAAACAATTAAAACACCAAATTGGTACCACATAAATTTAATAACATTTTTATTCTTAACGCAGCTTCTTTCGGCCTTATTAGGCCATCATTAGGCAAAAATTAAAAACGGGTAAATAGGTTGACAAAAAAAAATGATCATTCAACAAATATTTACATTTAGAGAAATTCCATCAATCTTATCTTGTCAAAGTCTTCGACAAAATATCTGTCATCAAATTATAATTATAGTATGCACATGCACCGACTTTGCTCTGAATGAAAGATGCTACACGTCTGATGTTGAGCATCCAGAGAATAAGGCGAATGGCTTGCATAGGATTATGTCGGCACACTTATATTTTTACGCGGAGTAGCGCCACCTGGTTCATCTTTATGCTGTGCTGAAAGGTGCAATAGTTAAGAAATTCATTCATCTTCATTTATCACTCTAATTCTATTTTGTTTTTCTGCAATAATTCTTAGCCATAAATCTCAAAAATCCTACATACATCCTCGTAAAAATGTATGACCCCGCATGTTGAGAGTTTTAAGGTAGTGCTACTGACAAGACAGGATCGGCCCAAGATTAGTTCTAACCTTGAGATTGGCGAGTGTACAGTATATTTAAAACTTTTTAGTTGTTAAAAGCGTCCTGTCGTGAGACCTGGTGGAAAGCATTTGTAAATTGTGACGATATGTATTGATGTTGTGATTTTAATCGATGTTTATGTTGTAAAATTTAAAAATAAAAGAATTTGTATCATCTTGAGTTTTTGTAAAGCAGTTTTCGCAAAATATACCATAGAAACAATCAAATGTTAATCCCCCTTTAAAAGAAAACATGGAATCGGACCTCCTTGAGAACGATAATGGCGTTATTGCCACAATGCATATCAATCGCAGTTCCAAAAAACTAAATTCACCTGCAGCCATTGGCGCAGCGGTAACCTTTTTCTATCCAAATTTAGAAATTAGTCAGCCGTTGAGGAAAAATCAGTTTTGATCCATTTTATTTTCATTTTTCTGTCGAACCACTTATTCTGTTGATATTTAGTGTGCCAGAAGTACATATCCAGTTTGTACATAATATACTGGGAAAAAACCTTATATTTTGTTGTCAAAGTTTTTATTCCTAATTTTCACCTTGAAATTATTAATCCCACTCACAACTAATAACAAAAGGCATATTGTTAATGTTCATCTTTTATAGAATACACGAACTAAAAATCAATGTAGCAAACACATAATCCAGTTATCATTGCTTCAAGTATTAAATTGTATTGACAGTATGTTATGTTGAGTATGGAGTATATGATGCACTGCGACCTAAAAGATCTATTGTGCCCCCCTCTGTCGCTAATGCATCGAGGAAATAGTTTCGATGCCTATAACGACCCTTCCAATCCTATGTTCTGTGTAGGATTTGGAGGGGCTTCAAGTTAAGGAGATCGACCTCTTTGACTCAGGCTGATACAGGCTTCCGATCTTTCCTGGTTATATTCACCCAGAAGTCTCTTAGCCTGTCTTAACCCCAAGAGATTGTTTCAATTATCGGTTCTACTGGGAGACGTGCTAGATATGAGATCAGACCACATAACCAAGAGGTACTCTTTTAATACTCCATTTGAGGTTTTAATACAGGATAGAGCGGAGATCACCATAAGGGAGCCCAATGCCCAACGACAGGAACAAACCTGGTATACAGACGGGTCTAAGACTGCGGAAGGCACTGGGGCGGGAGTATTCTCCAAAAACCCTGATACTATCCATAGATATGCCATAGGAATACATTCCTCGGTATTTCAGGCCGAGGTATACGCAATTTTGCAATGTGCAAAAACGAACAATGAAAGTGCTGTCGAAAATCAGCATATTCAAATAATGTCAGACAACCAAGCGGCACTTAAGGCCATATCGAGTCAGGAAGTTATGTCGAGGCTGGTATGGGAAAGCATCGAAGAACTAAGAACGCTGGCAGACCGAAATAGAGTAAAACTATTTCGGGTGCCAGGTCACCAAGGGATCGAAGGCAACGAAAAGGCTGACGAACTTGCAAAAAGAGGGTCAGAAGAAACACCGGAACCAGACACAAACCCAGGAGTACCAAAAAGTACTGTCCGGGGTTTCATAAACGACTGGATTCGGGAACAACATATTAACTATTGGGGAAGCACCCCAGAACAGGTACATGGAAAAGCCTTCATAGGCAGACCATGTCCCAAAAGAACTGAAAAACTACTCTTAATGAATAGGAACCAGTTAAAAGTGATAACAAGGTTCATGACTGGACACGCCCCAGTAAAGGGACACTGGACGCATGTTCAATGGGGTACTCATGTGCCGACTATGTCACAAGAAACCAGAAACGGCCAAACACATACTGTGCGAATGCGAAGCTCTAGATCGAAAAAGACAGTTACTTTTTGGACAACCCCAGGTTGATCCAACAACGTATAGAACCCACTCACCCAAGGATCTAGATCGCAAAAGACAGTTACTTTTTGGACAACCCCAGGTTGATCCAACAACGTATAGAACCCACTCACCCAAGGATCTGTACAAACTTGTACAAGATACAAAGGTGACAGAGTGGGTGCTATGAACTAACATGGGGGTAAAACACAATAAGCTTCAGTGTTAATCGGAAGCATAGTCAGACGAGCCCAGTAGAAAAAAAAATCGGTTGCCCAATCTTTTTAAATCTCTTCTAATATTGTGTTACGGTTGATACCGCACAACGGCTCAGGTCCCACTATCGGCAATCTCGTTAACCTTTATCCCGTTATGTCAATGCGTTGTAACAACGTGTTATGACAGCATACCCATAGCGCTAGCTAGACTTTCCATATTTTAAACTTTTTTTCACAAAAATTTTCAAACGTTATGAGAAAAAAGATTTCTTCAAGTAATCATTTTAGGCTTATTTCAAGATATTAAACGACTGTACAGAAAAATTATAAATTAATGAATTATTTTCCAGAAAACAATCGAACATGTTATTGACATGGACTTGTATCGGATGCAATTTGAAATATTCCAACTTTGATCAGTTCCAACAACACATCAGTGGTATAAAAGAAACGGTTCAGTATTACTGTAAGAACCACGACATTTATTTTAACCAAAAATCAGCGCATTCTTGCAAGTCTGAGAAACGATGTGCCTTTTGTTCGGAAGAAATACCTCCACAGTACGAGGAACATGCCTGTTTTCATTTATACAAAAAAGGTGACATACAGTCTTGTGATGTATGTGGCATGACGCTCCGCAAGATTCTACTTTGCGATCATTTAAAACAAATGCACAAGAAAAAATTGAGGATGTGTAAAAAATGCGATATGTTCTTTAACTCTGAAAAAGAATACAACCAACATAGATACGTCAAACATATAATCCGAGAAAAAACATACACGGTATGCCACATTTGCGGAAAAACGTATTCCAGTTTCACGATTAGCGGACATATCAAGAGTATCCACAAACAAAGCCGGGAAGCAAAGTGCAAGGAATGTGGAAAGGCGTTTATGAATAATTGGAAGCTACAACGACACATGATTGTTCACAGTAACGAAATGAAATACCAATGCGACATTTGTGAAAAAATGTTTAAAATGCAGTACTCGCTGCAGGTGCATAAAAATATGCACTTTAATAAAGATACTTTTTGTTGCACGATATGCGACAAACAGTTTAGTACCAAACAATCCAGGGATAAACATCTAAGAAAGCATTGACCGAGATGATTTTATTATTTTTATTCACAAAGCAACCACTGTTGTCAGATATTTAAAAAAAACTAGTTTTTACGATTTTCGTTACTGTTTAGTGATTAATGTTCAGTAACGCGCACGAAATAGAAACTACCTGATACTTAATATTATAATATATTTTGTACATCATATCCATAGTCAAGTTGTGACAACATCACTAGAATACTGTCCTGCGAGTCATTTTGGACCAGATGAAAAAATAATGTCTTCCTGGAGGGAATACAGGCAAGTTGTGAAACACAGAAGAGGCCATGGACAATCCAATAAAGTGCCATTAGGTAGAGTCAAAGCTGAAATTAGAAGGAATTGTAAGTTTTGTTCCTATTAAAGCTCCAACAAAAAAAGTGTGAAACATCTACGAGAACGAACGAATGATCTGAAAGAATGGTCGAAGAGATGTTTTAGATGTTCTTCAGACTATACCTGTGGAAGATACTGACTTTGAACAACTTAAAAATAGATTAAACATGCGATATGACTACGAACAATTGGAGCGGTTAAAGAATCGTAGAATCGTAAATAGAAACGAGACAATACCCTTCAAGAATACGAAGTAGATATTGCCAGGTTGGTACTATTTGCCTATCCATCAGCTCCAAAAAATAAGGAATGTTTGACTCTCCAAACATTTGTTGGTGGACCATGAAATGTAAAATTTGTTGATGGACTCCGTTACCATAAAATGTAAAAAACACTCCTTATAGCCCGACACAAACATTGGTCGATGTCTTGTCCGCTGCTCTTGAATATGACGCAGCTACGCTGGATACAGTGAAGTAAGGACTGAAAGAGAATTAAGAATACGGAGACCATCAGGTGATAGAATTGCAGTGAACTGGGACATGTACGCAGTTCGTGCAAATGTACTAGAATCACAACAAATAACGAAAACATAGAGCAGAACCTGACTAGTCTAAAATGGCTCGCACGACAATACAGTGAATATTTAATTTTGATCCGCTCCTCTTCCCATTGAAACACTTCAAGTAGTCTTTATGTAAAGGTAAAAACAATAAAACCTATTTACTTTTGTATTTTTCATGGTGTAACTATAAGGTCTAAAAGGACATTTTCTTTTGTTTTTAGCAATGGGAAGAGGTAACCTTATAGTTCTATTGTGGTATTTTCCTAATTATTTTGAAGTTGTAGTCATTTCTGACATACAATACGTCGCCTCCTGCAGAGCTGCTGGAAGTATTACATCTCGCTATTTTTATCCATGTTCAGATCAAGCTTGTCAGTGTTTTTTTTTGCAACCGTAGCCTTGTTAAGTAATATGACAGAGGAGTTAAATCAAATCACGTATTAATTGATCTTTCTTTGTATCCTTTGGATATTTTCATAAATAATATCACAAAGATTATATTTGCAGTTTCTGGTGTAGTTGTATTAAACAATAAGTCCACTATAAAGGAATACCGTAAATGCAGAAAAAAGTTCGGTATCTGCTTTAAAAGAACTGAAAAAAGAATTGCTTCTCGGAAGTTATCTAAACTAGTTAAAAACATCAACAAATCGACCTCTTTGATAGACCGTCCATAGACGGATATATTTTATTTAATAGTTGACAAGAAAATGAAAACTGATGATACATATTTTTTCTACACCAACATGGATATTAGCTTATCTACGCACAGACTACAAAACGAAAAAGTATGCTATTGCGTTCATCTGAACGAATATATTTCATATATATTCTAGGTAGTGAGAACATTGCAAACAAATTAAATCCACCATTCACAATTCATATTTGGTTCACCCAACTATTATTATTTTTAAAATTTTAAATAAATGACAATTATGTCAAGCTAATTGTCATTATATTTTTTAATAATACATAAAACGAGTTATTTTTGTATAGAATCGATAAGTAATAGCATTTCTATTTTTGTTTCTTTCACATTTTGAAATAAATTTAAAATTTTAATCAAACTAATGAAACTAATTTAATGACGAATATTAAAAGTAACATCCTAAATCTGGCGGTGGAGGTGAGAAAACAGCATCTGTCTTCTACACGAGAGATCCGCGTTCAAATCTCGGCTGGGGACTAATAAAATTAAATCTTTTTTTTTCTTGCTTATTTTATTTTATGAAGTAGTAAAATTCATAAACTATTTTAAAATTAGTTATTCTTAATAAGCTAAAATAATTTTTTAAATTTGTTGATTTTCGTTAGTGGATCGTAGACGATTGAGTACTTTACTTACGACGTCGTGCTCAAACTTCATCTTGTCCACAAACTACTATTCAAAGTATCAGATTGATATAAAGGTACCTATTAATTTCAAATATTCATTTTCAAATTTCTTTAATTGGAATTACAAAAAATTAATGGCTGACCAACAATAAATTAAATAATAAACACACGTTACGACGACACGGGCTATTTTTACTTTCTACTCCTTTCCATATGTTGTAGCTGACCCTTTTTGCTGCGGCGATGTAGTCCAGCTTGTCTATATCGATTCATCTCAGCGTGTTATACAATTATTGTTAAATAGCATCGTAATAATACACCCCCTCAGTAGTGACTCCTTTTTTGAATTGTACTGAAACATAATATAGTAATTTTTTTTGGAGCATTTTCAAAGGAAAGCCGAATTTTTTCTTCCATTTGTGGTGTCTATAGTTGAATTACTGTTTAATACAACAATTATACTCCATTAATATATTTTGTTCCACCCTACGATATAAAGTCATAGTTGTTGTTTTATATAATTTTTAAAAAAGTATGTTTAGATTTTGGTTTAATCAACAAAAATGACTAATCCAGTTTTTTTTTTAGTATGGTATCGATTATTATTTAAAACAACATATATTTTATATTTATTGTCTATATTTTCCAAGTCCTAATATTATTTTAATAAATTTGTTAGTAAGCATAGTGCTTTAAATTCTTGAATAATTGTTATTATTCCATTTGATGATCTATTTTTTTTCTTCTAACTCATGCAACATTGTAAAATTGTATCATAAAAGTCAAAAATTATGAATATGAACAATTTTGCTGTTCTACAGTTTTTAAACTAAATATATTTGATAAAAAAACTGTTTTTATCGGGCGGTTACTTTTTGTCCACATATTGAAACTAAAATATGAACCAGTCACTATTTAAGGAGAAGCTCCCTCTAGTGGAGAATAAAATTACTTACAAATATGAAACATTCGAAATCTAAGAACTTTTCGAAAAAAATTGACAAAACTTGCATTTTATGATTTTTTTGTTGTTAAAATTGTAATATAAATAAAAGTTTTTTATTATGAATTGGAATATTTTTCATTTTTATTATTAGGTACTCATTACTAATTAAAATTAAAAGTCACCAGATTTGGTTACTTATGACATGAATGATGACATTCTCGTTGTTTATTTTTGAACCATCAACAGTATATTTTAATTCTAATTATGGTGAGTGGGGTTTACCATGTTTCCTGACCTATAAGTCAAATGGCACCATAAGTCATCCTATCAGTCGCCCCGGAGCGCCACGACAGATAATAATCGTCCCCTTTCCCTCCCACACAAGCTCAGTCGGCTTAAGGGATTAAAATTCACTCGTAAAGGGTTGAATTATAGGGAGAGTATTATTATTATTATTATTATATAAAAAAAAAAACATTTAGTGAACAGTTTAAAACTTTAATGCTATTTCATATTATAAAAAGCATAATTATGTAAATATGAAACTACTACACATAGTTTAAAGATAGCTTACAAAAACATTTACCAACTCTTTTTCATAAAATGTCACAAAACTTCCATTCTATTTAGATAAATTTGGAATATGTTTGCAAAATATAAAAAATGTTGCCTTCGATTTGCCAATAGAGACCTGGTCATAGTTTATGAACAAAATAAAAATATTTTCGATGTGTCGCATATTTGACGAGAGGAAGAATTATAAAGGATATTTCACTAGGAACAGAACATACTGTTAACCTGTAAACTGCGGCTCTTATAGGTAAACGTACATCTGGAAGTTTCGAAAAAATCAAGGGCGATGATTTTGACGTCACAGTTGAGTTTTTAGGATAGCCGTTATATGTTAATGTTAATTGTTGTATTGTAAAAGTTTGAGTTTGGAAATAAATTGAGTTTACCAAGAATCAGTCTAACAATACGTTTACTGTTGATCAAAGGCACTTAGCTGCTTCTAAATAACCCATGGTTAAAAGCGAAACTCTTTATTGACTCATAATAACTTACAATCAACATGGTATACAGGGTGTGTCATGTAACAGTGGCCAATACTAACTTTATTATTTTAAATGCAACACCTTGTATATTTTTCAATTTTTGGAATCTTCAAAAAAAATTTAGACATTTTATGCACTATGTCCTATACCTGTTTCGGAAATTTAAATGTTTCCGACTAATTACAAAAATTAACATTAGCAAAATAAAATTGTTTGATTACAGAAATTCGCTGCAACACATTCAATACTCATTTCCCATTTAGGCCTTGATAATGAGAAAGTAAGCAAAAGCGTTCCTTTTTACTGATATGAAATAAAAAAAGCTATACTCAAATAGTTTTGTTTACTTTTGATTGGATACAGAGATAACACACGGACACAAATGGAAGTTGCTTGCTTATTTCATGAACAATTTCCAAATTTGCCGCGTATATCCCAAGGAACAATTAGTAAAATAAAGAAGCAGTTTCGCGAGCTTGGATATGTAAGGCAGATAAAAAAACAGCTCCCAATGCAATAACTAATGATACCAAATTGGATATTATACTTGAGTTTCAGGACAACCCAAGCATCCCCAATGTTCGATATTAGCCATTCATCGATTATTCGAACATTTATAGAAAATAATAGCAACTCAGGAGCTCATGGAAGACGATTTTGACAGGAAAACGCAATTTTATAAACAAATGATGGCAATGTTAGATAATATGATGAACCAATTAGAACATGTTTTGTTTTCTGATGAGTGTACCTTTCCACTTCACAGACATGCTAATCCTCAAAATTGCTGCTATTGGTCCAGGGAAAATCCTCATTGAATGAGAGAAGAACATACGCAATACCCTGAAAAGGTTAACGTTTGGGCAGGAATTGTTGGCGATCATATCACAGCTTCAAAATAATGTCGTGCCAACTTTAACGAACTTATATCCCGATCCAGCAAACCCACAAGTTCCAGCGAATATGGTTTCAGCAAGATGGAGCACCGCCACATTACCAAATCAATGTCCGGCAGTACCTCAATCGAGTATTTCCAAATCGGTGAATAGGGAGGCGAGGATCGATGAAATGGCCAGCATGATTTCCTGATCTGACACCATTAGACTTTTTATTATCGGGATATGTCAAAAGTATTGTATACAAAACTAAAGCTCTTGACCTAGCTGACTTAAGAAGACGAATAACGTTTGCGATTAGATCGGTCACGCCTGAGATGTTGAGCAACGTTAGAAGACATTTTTATTTCAGATTAGGATGTTGCCAAGAGGTTCGCGGCTAGCATTTTGAATATCTCGTGCATTGGGATGTTTTTTTTTTGTTATATTATCAAGAAATAAAGAGTATTACTTATTAGTTTTTGAGTGTGTTGTAACGATTTTCTGTAATCAAATTATTTTATTTTATTAATGTTAATTTTGGCAATACATCGGAAAACATTTAATATTTCCGAAACAGTTAGGTATAGAACATAGTACATAAAATATGTCTAGAATTTTCTAAAGAATCCAAAAATTGAAAGGTTCTATATTCGCCCCTGACACCGAATCTAATATAAGGTGGTGTCAACAAGAAACGAAATCCAGGTACAAGGTGAGTCAAAAAGATAGTACACATATTTTAAGAATTCATAGAACAATGAAAAGTAAGGTTAGTTTGCTGTATAAACTATTGTCCGAAACTTTGAAATAAGGGAGATAAAGAAATTCAAAGGGAGATTGGAAAAAACAGTTTTTCGGTCCTAACTTCCAATCGGAGCAAACTACCAACTGCAAGTTTCTTGGAGAACTTAAAAGTTTTATATCATTTGTTGACACATTTTGGCAATACGGTGTTATTCGTACTATAATCTCCATTCAACTCGTGATGCCCTTTTGAATGTTACTCTACCCACTATCTCAATGTGCTGTGGTCATGAGGCTAGTTGTGTTTTGAGTTATTTGCGTTTTAAGTTGAATGGAGTTTTGTCAGGTAATGTTAGAAAAAATCAAAGAGACCCACATTTTTTCAATAAATTTTTTTTACCGATGAGGTTACATTTACAAGGCAAGTCAATATACGTACAACTCCCATTTTTATGTATATCATTTTGTTGTGCGAGAATACCATTATCAATATACATTAAAAGTCAATGTTTGGGCAACGACAATGAGTAATAGATTCCTTGGATTTTTTATTTTACCGGGTAATTTGGACGGCGACAGTATTTAGATTTTTCGAAAATCAGCTTTTTCAAATTTTAATACCTTTACAAATGCAGAATGAAATGATTATTCATGCACGACGGGGCTCCGCCCTATTTTATAAGAGCTATCAGAATGCGGTTACATCAAAATTTTCCTGCCAGGTGAATAGGCAGAGGGATATTTAAAATATAGGATTTATAATTCAGTAAGGGTATCGAATTTTTTCAAGGTAGGTACAGGAAAATTTGAATTTTAGCTACTCATCATAAATAAATAATGACGTAATACAAGGTTTTGAATTTTTCATTTTAAGGGGGTGGGGGAAATGGGGGATGAACGTTTGTATGGGAGCATAGATTTTTTAAAGGTAGCAAATTGAAAATTGGAATTGTAGCTACTCATTATAAATAAATAATGACGTGTTTCAGGGTTTTGGATTTTCACATTTTAAGTGGGGAGAAAAAGTAGTGAAATAAAAATAATTAAAAATAAAACTAAATAAATAAAAATAAATAAAAATAAATAAAAATAAATGAAAATAAATAAAAATAAATAAAAATAAATAAAAATAAATAAAAATAAATAAAAATAAATAAAAATAAATAAAAATAAATAAAAATAAATAAAAATAAATGAAAATAAATAAAAATAAATAAAAATAAATAAAAATATATAAAAATATATAAAAATATATAAAAATATATAAAAATATATATAAATATATAAAAAAATATAAAAAAATAAAAATATATAAAAAAATATAAAAAAATATAAAAATATATAAAAATATATAAAAATATATAAAAATAAATATATAAAAATATATAAAAATATATAAAAATATATAAAAATATATAAAAGTATATAAAAATATATAAAAATATATAAAAATATATAAAAATATATAAAAATATATAAAAATATATAAAAATATATAAAAATATATAAAAATATATAAAAATATATAAAAATATATAAAAATATATAAAAATATATAAAAATATATAAAAATATATAAAAATATATAAAAATATATAAAAATATATAAAAATATATAAAAATATATAAAAATATATAAAAATATATAAAAATATATAAAAAAATATAAAAAAATATAAAAATATATAAAAATAAATATATAAAAGTATATAAAAATATATAAAAGTATATAAAAATATGAGGAGTGAATTGATAAAAACCATACTTCTCGATGTCCCGACACCCTGATAGCCTAAGGGAGGATTGCTTATCTCAAGGACCTGTTAGAGAGTCAATTTCATATGCAATCTGGTGATATTAGCATGTGAGAGCCGTACCAGAAATGTAGTATTAAATGAGAATTTCAATTAGATTACTATACTTAACTATAAATCTATAAAACTATCACATACATATCATGAACCCTAAAAAACATATTATCCCTCATTTTTTTTGGGAAGGCATGCATTTTTTATATTAAGAACACGATTCCACAATTGCAAAGCCGCGGGGAACAGCTAGTTACTTACCTATTTTCATTGTTCTACTACCTTATAAAATATTTGTATTTCTTTTTGACTCACCTTGTATAAAGCAAAACTAGAAGTTCGTCCATCAAAATAATACCTGCATTTCTAAAATTTGTTTTCAAACTTAAAAAGAGCACGCTTAATCCATTAAAGTGGGTACCTCTCAACGAGTTAACAATTGAGTTAGTGATGTTTATTCAGTTGAATATACAGGGTGTTTTTGAAATACACGTACATCTTAAAACTGATTAGTATTTGAACTTTTCTCAAATGCACAAAAATATTTTTTTTAAATAATTGTTCATAGAAATTTTGAAAATCGGCTTTAAAATAGACCTACGCCACTGGCTTGTTGATATATTTAATTGAAATAGTTAATTATTTCGAGCTGCCTAGTGCGTCTGTTACTGACAATGTTACCAATGTGTTTTGACCAGTTATTGTACTATCAACATTTTGATTTTTATGATTATCGTTTGTTTTTTTATTTACAAAATTACATCTGATTAATATTTCATTGTTTAGAGTTTATTTGTTGCGAAAAGTTATCTGGTAAAAATAGGGGAATATTCCTAATATTTTAATTTGGGAATTTACGTGCAAAATTATTGTTTTTAGACGTTTTAATGTATACATATATTCCAAAAACACTCTGTATAAAATTGGTATTTTAAGATGACTAATCACCATACAAAAACACTGATACGTAATTTTTTTACAGATTCAAAACACCTAAAGCCGAACCAAGTGGTGGACAAGTTTTAAAAAAAATCACATTCATGTGCAAGCATTGTAAAGTCCAATATAATACGCCCGTTCATTTAGTTTCGCATTTGAAAACAGTCATACCACGCATCGTCTATCAATGTCTGAAATGCGATAAAATATACAAACTCAAACATTCGTGCCCCGAAACCTTAATCAAATGTGCCTACTGCTTTATGAGCTTAGAAGAAAATTTGGTGCGATCTCATTTTTGCTTTCATCTCATCTCGGAGGAAATCAGTCTATTGAATGATGAGACTATTAAATGTAACATATGCAAGAAAACGTTTTTAAAAAGATATTTAGTACCGCATATCAGTAAATGTTACAATTTATGTAACAAGTTGACTGTAGACGGAGTAAATTTAAAACGGTAAGTTGCAAATATTTCCACTCTTATTGTAGTGATTTTTAATAATATTGTCTTTGAAATTGGGTTGATCCACATAAATTGGTCCAACATTGTTTCATGAAAATATTTTGTATAGTTCTATTTATGGTTCTCTTTGGCGTGTTCTTGAAATACTATGTGAATCATTTTGAGAATTCATCTCTATTATATTCAGACAAAAAGGACTTATGTGCTCACTTAACAAACATAGATTACAACAAAATTACATTCAATGTATGATTTCAGTAAAAAATTATCCACTTTTTTTTGTTTCTTCGGCCAATTTAGCCCATTAGCCTCGTGTTCTGTGATGTTATGGAGTGCTAGTACTTTAATACTCCATAGTGTTGGAGTGCTAGTATTCCAATACTCCTACACGCCTAGTGGGTCTTTTTCGTTTTAAGTAGTTTATTTAGGATAAACTGCAAACACTTTCAAAATTTCCTTCAAAGTGAATACTAAATACTCCTTAATTTTTTGTAACTGCCTCTGTGCAATGACTTGTAAAATCTCAAAGTACTTTTATGTCAAGGTTTTTAACATTAGCTCTGCTCTGCTATTTAGGTTAATTTTATATAACATGTCTTGTGCTTTCGTAAAGGTTGTTTCAGTAAGTAGAGAGCTGGAGACTACTACAAATGATGATAAATATTTCAAAATTTTAAAAAGTAAAAATGATTAAGTAGCTACTAGTTAATACTAAGTTAATTACTTGAAATTTGACAATGTTATGACAAAAATACTAATATCATAGTAAGTGAAGAGCTTGAGGCTACCGCAATTAGAAAAATATGTGAACTTCAAAATATTTAAAAAACTAGTGAGGGAATGACAACAGTTTTTAGGATGTTATGAATTATAGCGAACGAAATTGATTTTTTTTTGTTAGTTTGCATTGCACCTAGCTATATTTCAGCCAACCATCAATTTATCTTTATTATAAATTTAAATAAACTTAAGAGTCTTAAAACTAAGAGTTCACCCAATGGTATCTTCTCCTTTCTGTTCTGATAACTATACACTGCACACACGCACTGTGCTCTGCTTTATCACACTTTCACATCACTAATTCAAATGGTTTGGTCTTTCTGAGCCTTCTCATTAGGTATCGGTTGTCCAGGAACTGTAGAACTTCGATGTTGACATGATCATGCAGTCTTTTTTCATGTTTTTTGCGATGGTTTTCCTCTCTTCTTCTACTGTAGGAATTCTCTCAGATCTCTGTGTAGGTCTGAGTTTCTAACATACCAAGGGGCGTTTAATACTGCCCTCAATATTTTGTTCTGGAAACATTGTATTATATTTATGTTAGTTTTACTGGCACATCCCCAGAGCTGTATGCCGTAAGTCCATACTAGCTTCAGTATTTGTATATGTATTAAAAGTTTGTTTTCTATTGAAAGTTTTGATTTTCTATTCATCAACCAGTATAATTTTCTATATTTAATACCCAACTTTTCCCGTTTTTTTCTTTATGTGTTCTTTTCACTATAATTTAATATCTAGGTTCATTCCCAAGTATTTCGCCGAATTAGAATATGGTATTCTAGTATTATTTAATGTCACTGATAGGTATCCTACTGATCTTTTATTAGTGAAGTTAACCTGAACTATTTTAGTTTCGTTGAGCTTAATGCACCATCTTTTTGTCCACTCATAGATTTTATTAGTTGCATGTTGAAGTTTTCTGGTCGATTCTTCTATGGTTTTATCGATGGCAAGTATGGCCGTGTCGTCGGCAAATGTGGCTACTTTCACATTTTGCGTTTGTGGTATGTCGGAGGTAAACAACAGGTAGAGAACTGGTCCCAGAACACTTCCTTGAGGTGCCCCTGCTTTAGTTTCTTTAAGCTTGGAATATTCTTCTTGTTTAACTCGGAAGATTCTATCAGTCAAGTAAGATTTTAAGATGTCACAATATTTTCTAGGTAGAAGTTTATTTATTTTATATTCAAGGCCCTCTAACCATACTTTATCGAAAGCCTGAGCTACATCTAGAAAGAGTGAGGTGCAGATCTTCTTTTCTTCTAGTGCTTTCTCTATTTCATTCGTTATTCTGTGGATTTGGTCAATAGTGGAATGCTTGTTCCTAAATCCAAATTGGTGGTCAGGTATTATATTTTTACTGTCTATCAGTGGTTTCAATCTTTTTAGTAAAAGTTTTTCGAAAAGTTTAACCCTGATAACAGGTCTATAAAACTTCACTTCATTTAGTGGTTTTCCAGGTTTGGGTATCTTTATAATTTTAGCGACTTTCCAGATGCTAGGTACATGCTCTAGTCGAAATACAGCATTTATTATAATAGTAAGTTTAACCACAGCTTTTCTTGGCAATTGTTTTAGTATTTCACCTGTAATCAGATCATACCCAGGTGCTTTCTTAGAATTGATATTTTCTTTGATTTCCTTAGCTACCTCTTTAGGCGTTACCCTAGGAGTTTCTACTATGTTTGTGTTCTCTTGTTTTAATAAATCGACTCCTCGTTCTTCATTCGGTTGAAACATTTTAAAAAGTAAAAATGATTAAGTAGCTACTAGTTAATACTAAGTTAATTACTTGAAATTTGACAATGTTATGACAAAAAAACTAATATCATAGTAAGTGAAGAGCTTGAGGCTACCACAATTAGAAAAATATGTGAACTTCAAAATACTTAAAAAACTAGTGAGGGAAGGGCAACAGTTTTTAGGATGTTGTGACTTATAGCGAACAAAATTGATTGAATAGAAAAAAAAATGTTTTAAGAGTAACTGAGAAGTTAGATGGATTAGATACAAGGGAGGATAAAAAAATTAAAAATTATCAACATAGTACTTACATGGAAACAGGTAAATAGAATTGTATATAACTGAGGTAGCTTAATGGGGCCGTGGTAATGGCTGTTGCATAGCGGGAAGGATACAAGTATCTACAGCGAGAGAGATACAAGACAATGATGAATGTCCAAAGCTGACAAACCAACGTTTTTTCAGATTAGTGATATCTCGGGAGTCATTATAAGTACGGGGCCGTGGTAACGGCCCTAACATAGAGGAAGGTGTTAGTGTCTCTACAGCGAAAAGAGTCATATTCGCAGGTAAAGTAGCGGAAGTTGATGTGGAAGCTTCAAAGCCGACAGACAAACGTTTCTTCAGATATGCTAGGAAATCAGTCCTGGGTTTGTGGTTCGCGAGTTGACCGCACGAATAGGAGTAGTCGGGGCAGTAAATAAAAGCCAACCCTGTAGCCCCAGAAGATTGAATTCGGGTGAAGGGAGAGGTCGTTTAGTACTCCTGGCACCAAAAGTGGCACTTAGTTTCAACTTCAATTGGCGGAATAAAGTCCATAAAATCGGAATAAAACACTCGGTGTGCAGTTTAGCACAAATTATAATTTGAAGAAAAAAAATTACTATGACTTTAACACGTGTATGGTGTGTTAAATAAGATAAGATACTGTTCTTGTGATAGAACACAATCAAAGAGTGTTTACGACAAATGACAAGAGCACATCAAACAAGAAAGTTGAGGAAGAAGAACCCTAACAATGTAAATTCCATATTGAAGATTAGAAGAAAATGAATAAAAGGAAAAGTAAAAAGCTACAGATCGATAATTATAGGTTGATATGTTAACAAGTGGATTGTTCTAGTAACAAAAACAGAAGATAATTTAATATTATAGATAATATTGATAGTGATATCAGGGTATTGGGTACAAGACCTAAGAAGAAAAAATATTAACTTAATATCTGATAAATGCCTGAAGCGAGCTGTAGTGTTGCAGTTTACAAACAAAAATCATTAGAAGAAAGGATATCATTTTTCCCTTTCCCAAAAAGCGACCATTTACAAAAAATATGGATGTAAAGTTTTAGAAAATATCAGCTTAATGTTAAAACTGTCAATATGTGCAGTATCATTTTAAGAAAGAGGATTTTTATAGATGACATTCTGACGCGAATAATATAATAAAACTGGGTTGTTTTATTAGTACATTACTATTTATACATAAAATAACTAGGAAATGACAAAATATTTTTTTTATTTCTGATATAAATATACATTGTGTTTCTTCTGAAGTCCAACAGGCTCTTGTTTTCTTTATTAAAATTATTTGTAGCTCATTTTTACTAAAAACTTCTTGTATGTTCTTTTAGCAAAGCCCTTTGACTTTTCTTGTTCTTGGTTGTGTTTAATGTTTGTAAAAAACCATCTAATCTGCTTTTAAATGTAGGGTGGGCAAAACTACAATTAATTTAATAAACATGAATGATAATTGTAGAATAATAATCTAAAATCTTACCATTAGCCTTTAATTTCAATTTTGCTTCAGTCACTTGCTTTTAATGATTTTATTTGGAAACATTGCGATTACAAACAGCAACAACAGCTTTCTTCAAATTATTTCAGGGTATAAACCAAATGTGGTCCGAGTTCGGCTCGGAGGCCGTACCCTAGCCTAAAATGTTTAAAATAAACCATTCACACAATATTTCTCTTTATAATTCAAATAAAAAGTAATCCATTTGAAATTTTATGGAAATCATTACATGGTTTTGTAGCTCGTCTTTCAAAAAAATTAAACTATCGATATTGTATAAACTCAACAGTATAAAATAGTTCAAAACTAAAAATATACTAAATAATAATAAAATATTTTATTTAAAAAAAAAACAATGTACGAACCCAAGTAGATTATTTTCTGTTATTTCACTTTTTCAACCCGTCACTCCGTTCTTAGCAACCGGGATGAGGCCACCGTTTCAGTCTACGAACCGTGGAAATATGGAAAATTATTGATAAACATTGAAGTAATTTTGGAAAGGAGAGGAAATGAACCTGAATGATTCGAAGGGGAGAGATAAAAGGAAAATGTTCTTTGGGTTGGATCTATTAATCTCAAACTTCTCAAGTCTGTTAAGTCTAATACCTTTTTAACAATTATGAATAAGTTGTTTTTTTGAAAAATAAAAGGAATTGTTGTTTATAGGAGATGATTGGCAAAGCTAGAAGATGTGTTAATAGTGCCAGTGTTCATATCTCTGGACTTATGATTTAATTTAAGAGTTCTTTTACTCACCTTTCAAGCTTTCTACTAGATGCATTATAATCTGAACAATCACGCCTATATACTTCGGGTTTTAGGAAGAATCAGAACTATTTTTTCTTTCCCAACTTTCTTTTTTGATATGCTCTTGTCAAATGTCGTCAACGTTTTGTTTGTATTCTATCGCGAGACCAGCCATCTGATCTTACACTTACCTCACTAGTTTTTTGATGTTCACATATATACTCAATTGTGGCAACCTTAAGCTTTTCACTTACTATGAAATATGGATAACCTTATTATTACAATTATCTTTGTTCACTATAAGATCATTGTTGTACTATTTTATTTGGATGACCCAATTTTATTTTTGATTTTAAGTTTAAAAACAAAAATGTTCCTTTCATTTAGCAAAGTACAATTGTCTCTGTCCACTATAAAAGCATCATCTTATTTGGATGACCTAATTCTATATTTGTTTTTAGCTTAAACATTTTTTACGACTATAAGATTAGAACAAATATTTTGCTTTGATTATTATACTAAATAAAATTGTCCCTACTATGGCGTATTTACTGTTATAGCAATGAAGATGAAGACGCAACTCAACCAGTAAAAGTAGGAGCATATTTGAGACGCTTATTGGAACAACCAGAAAATACATATTACCATCACACAGTGAAAAAAATACTGAAAAGCGTCACTAATGATGTTAAAACTAACCTTATCAATTCAGTTGCTGATAATGTATATACTAGAAAAGATACTAATATAGACATTAGTTCGACTTCTCAAGAAAATGTGATAATAAAGTTAGAAACTCCAACTGATGAGAATAATATTAATGAAACTGAAACTGATAAAAATAATACTAATGAAACGAAAACTGATGAAAATGATATTAATGAAACTGAAACTGTTGAAAATAATATTAATGAAACTGAAACTGTTGAAAATAATATTAATGAAACTGATGAAAATAATGTTATTAATGAAACAAGTAGTACAAATATTGCCGTTCGTGAGCAAACTTTCTTGCAAAATCCAATCGAAAATAAGTTTAAAACTGCTTTAACACGTGGTTTTATAACGAAAATAGGTGCGGGTAACTACGTATGCTTATTTTGTAATGATTGTTTCAATAGAGCAGGCGTTATCAAACACCTAGAGAAATGCTCTTTGTCTACATGTAGGTTTTGTTACAAAACATTTTCTAATCCTGAAGAGTTAGATGAGCACATTTCGAATATAAAAATATCAGCCGTACATTTTTGCTTGATGTGCGTTTCAACATGCACAATTGAGCACGGAAAAGAAGGATTCGATCATAGGGTTAAATCGTTTTGCACTATGTGTCATAAGTACTTGTGTTACGATGATTATATTTCGCACAACTGTTTCCATGTATTTTCTGACGAAGAATTAACAAATCATAATACGAAGCTGAACGAAGACCTCCTCTTTACGACATGCGTACATTGCAACAAGAAAGTTCCGCAAACATTTTTAAAAACGCACGTTTTAAAGAAACATTCTGAAGTCGGGAAATCTTACAATTGCCCTTTATGCACTGCATCCTTCGATAAGCTAATGGAATTAAGGGGCCATCAGAAAATGCACTACGGATTTTTGTGCCACATTTGCGGTAAAAGAATCACCAAAAATAGAACCGATCACATGAATTCTCACGAAGTTATACCTAGACACCAGTGTTCTCAATGCGGCAAACGTTTTGCGATGCAATACAATCTTAAAAAACACGAAACGACTCACTTGGAAAAAGGAAACTATCCTTGTAGTACGTGTAAAAAGCATTTCAAAAATCCCTTCAATCTGAAGGTCCATAAAAGAATACACGACGCTATTAAACCATTTAAGTGTTCTATTTGCGCCAAGACTTTCCAAACTAAGCAGGCTATGCAGAATCACATGAGAGTACATTAAAGGCTTTGGCGCAAAGCGGTGCATTAGTGAGACGTAAGTGAACTAAAAATAAAGTGAACTGTTAAGTTATTAATTTGGCTACTATCTAAAGGGGCGATGATCCGAAAAGATTGATAATAAATTATACCACATATTCTGTGGACAAAAATAGGTCGATTGAAACTTACAGCAAAGGGCAAAGGGTAAAACTAAATTTTCATGAAAATTTTTAGTTTCTCTTAAAACAAAAAATATTAAATTACAAATTTTTGTAGTTTCCTTTCTACAACTGGTTGATATATTAAACAATTTTATTCCTCTATTTTAACTTTTTTTACAACTTTACAACTATTACAATCCCTCACTACTTTTTAAGTGTTTTGATGTTCGCATATTTTCTCAATTTTGGTAACCTTAAGCTCTTCACTTGATATGGATAACCTTCTTATTATTACAATAATATCTTTGTTCACTATAAAATCATTGACGTACTATTTTATTTGCATAAACCAATTTTATTTTTGATTTTAAGCTTTAAAAAATAGGAGTTTCAGTTTTACAATTATTAGATTAAACCAAACATTTTTCTTAGATTTAGCAAAGTACAATTGTCGTTGTTCACTATAGAAGCATTTTATATGGTCGACCTTAAATATTTTATACGAATCCTACTAATATATAAATGCGAAAGTTTGGATGGATGGATGGATGGATGGATGGATGGAACAGAATACTTTTTCTCTTGTGTATACATTTTTTGGGACACACTGTATAATAGATAGCGACGTGCTCTTCGATTTACTTTGATGTTAACGACGTGCTTGAAGAACACGTCGCAATCCATTACACAGTTTTAAACACACTATAAAAAGTATACATTTTTTTTAAGATTCCAGAGGCGTTCCATTTTTAGCTAAATATTTCCCTAAAAAAAGGGTAAACTCAAAGGGGTGTTGACCGCCTCTGAAAACTCAATAAAAAAAATAAAAATGAATACGGCTACTGCGTATTTATTCATGATACAAAAAATTACAGAGGTATACTTAACCGACGGAATCTCGTCCACTTCGCGCATGCCGTACAGTGTTATCTGATTAGCCATGAGCTGATAATAATTTATTTCCGCGCACTCTTTTCGATCAGCGGATACGTCAAATTCGTAAAAACCACGCCTTCCACCACATTACGTCACCGTGACGTGTAGTATCAATCTGCGTAATATACCTTCTATTTACTATAAATCATTGTATTTATTGTACATTGTATACTAGTATCCCATAAACATTTTCATAAATTAATGTTAAACCATTTTAAAGTAACATTAAAACATTTTCAACTTAAACACCATGTAACTTTTTGTGTACACTTTTGTATAAAGTCATGTTCAGTGGACCAATTTTTGTCCTTAGAATATGGTATAATTTATGGCCAGTCTTTTCGGAACATTCTGTATAATCACATCCCCTCTTCAAAGGTAACATGTCAAAAAAAGCAAATTGTAAGAAAATGAGATTTTTGGTTTTATATTTTTGTGTGTTTAGTTAAATACCTATAGTCATTATTTTAATGCAAAGTATAGTTAATATTTTTCTCTTTGTATATACAAGTATTTTTGAGTTTTGTCGCTTTTTATGATCGTGACTAGCAAATTTTGATTTAGGACATCAGTAATAATTAATTGTAAAGTGGTGGTAAATAAACATTTATTTTCTTTATTTGTTGACATGAAACAGAAAAAGATTATGAAAAAGTAAAAAAATAATACAGAAAATGAAATTTATTCCGGAAACATTACCCCCAAGAATAAATGTATTGGCTACATTAAGCTTATACAAAAGTTGGCGTAATACTTTTAAACGCGATTATTTTTAAATAAAAGCAATAACTCTTTTTTTTTTGTTTTATTTTATTTTTAATTGCACCGTGTTTAAAAGTGTTGCAACTAGAAAATGGCATTATAACAGAAAACTGTTAAACAATTTTATATAGCAAAATTAACTATTAAATTATTAAGTATGAAACTTTTGATGCCTGAAGAACGGATATTAGCGGCCATCTAATAATTGTGACACTTTTACAGATGTAAAGTAGGTATAAGGTTTTCATTAGGTTTGTCGATATGATACAAAACTGGTGGTTTTGGAGTTGTGTCATTTTTGAAGAGGGAGTGCGGCATACAGTTTCAGTCAGTATAAAACTGCTGATTGTGTATTCAATAACAAATTGGGCGATAAAATATGAGCAGTTATTAAATCGGAATCGTTTAGTTATAAATCTTGAGTTACAAGCGTTCTACATACTCAGTGAGTCTTGGCTATTATTGGTTAGATTCAAACAACGTCAACTGTAAGCGACAGTATCGTTAGTTATCGTCATACTCTTCGTTCATTGTCGTACGTCATCGTCGTTAAACAATTGTCTTATTGTCTATTAAATATGTTTCGGCTATTGCTTCCACTGATATTTATTATTTTACTGGATAGGATATAGGCTATATTTGACATACTAAAAATCCGTTCTGCCAAGGAGACCTGAAATGCAACACTGCTGGCCGATTTGGGCAAATTATGGTGGTATAATTTGACATACCTAACCTATAATTTGATTAGTTCTTCTTTTTATTCTTCTTCTATTTCTTTTGCGGGAATGTTCTTCGGGATAATTCACCCATAATTTGATTTTTTATGAAACAAAATATAAAAATAGAAACGTAAAGCATATTGTATCTTCACGAATGAACTTTATTGTAATGCTATCCGATACTACCTACATAAATAGCAGATAAAGGATCAGTTCTAAAGTATCTACAGTGGATAAGAAAATTTAAAAAAATACACTATAACCTATGGGGACTACAACTAAAAGGAGATATTGGTAATTGAAATAACAGCCTCGAGCTAGAACTACATAGATGGTCGAATCACTTTAGGCTATTATGAAACGAGAAAAGGTCTTTGCTATTGTTACAATAGAACCTGAAAGAACAGAGATTTAAATATGGCTAAAAGATGTAGAAGAAGATCTAAACAATACCTGTGAAAATGTTTAACTGATAGAACAATATGGATACATGCAACTGAAGCGATTAGAATTGGAACTGATCTAGTAGTGTTTTCAGACACATGATTTATATTAAGAATTTTTAAAGATAATGTAGGTAGATACTTTATAATTGCAAAGTTAATTTTAACAATATAGATATAAATATATTTTAAATTACCTACACTTGTCTAGGAAAGCTAATAAAATTTACTGATTATTACCATTGTTAGAAATTTTAATTAACATTTCTAACTCTTCCAGGTTAATACATGGTCTTTTTGTTGTCTTTAACCATTTTTACACATTGAAATTTGTGCAACTCATAAATATATGTATTAAAAAAAAATGTACTTTTAACAATCTCTACAGTCGTACGATTCTAGGAAAATACTGTTATGACTGTTATAAATGTAATTTACAATTAATTAAAGAACAAATTTAAAGGCTTTACATAATTTTTACAATTATGCAAATATTGATTTATATATATTTTAAATGAAATAAGATTAAATCATGGGAAAATGTGAAAAAATAAACGTTTATACTTCCTGTAATATTTTTATTAATAAAAAAAAGATATAAATTTATATTTTTAAATACATTACTAACAGTCTTCGTTTGTGTTTTATCAATGCATTCCTGCACTTACAACATTAAAATTGTTCATATCCATACTCTTCAGCCATTTCCCCAAAAGCTCAAATTCTGTATGAAACCTTTAATTTAGTAATAATCGTTAATTTTTTCATTTATTCGAAAAATATTTGTATTCTTGTATACTAACGTGTAAATTAGTAATGTTTTCAGTTTGTTACGACAAAATAGATCTATTAACAAATTATAAATATAATAGTTTTATTTACCTGTGAAGAGTACGGATACTCTTTTCACTTCGTTTTCCACAATAAAAACATGTCTTCATCGCAACTTGTTGACACAATTAAATGACAAATGGAAATAGAGGTTATGTTAAGTAACATCCGGTCCGCCATTTTATTTGCCCAAATCGGCCAATTTTTCGGAACGTTTTTTAGAGGGGTTATATCCTATCCAGTAAAATAATACAGATCAGTGATTAATTCAAACAACATATATGTCATCTGTCAACGACCTATATACGTATCGTTAGTCATCGTCATACGTTCATTGTCGTACGTCATCGTCGTTGAACAATAATCTTTATTAAAAAATAAATACAACACTAATTAACAATTACATGCAGTATCATCGATTCTTCTTCTGGCCTAAAAAAAATATGACAACTATCCAACCATTGTTATCTCTACAGGTTCTCGTATGTCTATTCAATCTTCTTTTCAACCTAAATCTGTCACTCGTCACTATTAAAAATGTTTGCACTCACTTTTTCCTACATTTTATTGTTTAGTTTTTGGTATTCGTACATATTTTTGCATTACTATACTCTGTTTTTAAACTAGGAGGAGCGAATTGAAAAGACGCATTTACACAGGGAAAAGTAACTAGATTTGTTACTAAGAGCGAGTTTCGAAATATAGTCGTGTTCAAAATTTATGAAATAATTATCTTTATCAGCCTTAGTCGGTGAACGGCCAATGAGCGCTTAAGAAACGAATAAATGTCATAGAAGTAATTTTTTAATTGGTCCCAGACAACGGTCGCAAATTTCACATTATTGTGATCTGAAATGTGTGTCTAAAACGAAATGTCACTGTCAAATTAAAGTCAATATGGTTGTTGATTAATGTCAGAAATACTTTTTTCTTGCTTTTGAAATCGACTTTTTGAGAATAACTATGATCTTTTTAAAATGAATATTAAATATTTAAGGAAATTGTTAATGGAATATCCAGATATAGCCATAAAGATCTGTTTACATTTTTAAGGATATATTTGTTATAGGTATAAAAAGTAAAAGTTAATCAGTGAATGACAAGTGGATCACACAGTAACTGGTATCTCTTCTATGAATAATGTGGATATTATGGCTTATTTAGTGT